CGATCCCCATTCGCACCCGCAGAAGTGTTTCGATGGCGGCCCCGCGGGGTCACTGCCACTCCCGCTGCCGCGGCCTGTCGAATCCACAACGCCAGGGGGCGCGGGGGGAGGGGGCAAAGATTGTCTTCGGGGGATCCGAGAAAGTCGCGAGGATCGTTGCGGGGAGTGCCCGCAATCTGTTGCAGATGCTCGCGGCCTGTCGGCGAAGTTGGCCTCGCCCCTGCGGCCGCGCGAGAATTCCGAGATGGCCAGGCGCCAACTTCCCGCGCCGCGCCGCGATGCGAAAACGATTTGTTCGGTGGCTCAGGCGGCGCCCCGCGCAGTGCTGGCGGCAGAGGGCGCGCGCGCCGCGGGGCACGCGCGCGCCGCGCAAGCCCAACTTGTGCCTAAGGCGGCGAGGGGCGCGGGCGCAAGAGAGATCGAGCGCGCGGGGCGGGAACCGCGCGCGCGAGAGGCGGCGAGGAATGCTCGAGCGCGAAGCGGTGAAGAGATGGGGCCAGCGCGCGCGAGGCTGCCAGGGACGCGCGCGCCGAGGAGGTCGATTCGCGCGGGGGCCCGTTCGGCATTCGCGCGCCAAATCAGAGGTCGCGCGTAGTCCGCGCGCGGCGCGCGCAGACGACGAGTTCCAGGCCTTGTCGCGATTGCCGCGTTTGGCGTCGGCGCGGGCGCGCCGCGCAAATTACTGGCGCCCCGCGGTGGGCCGCAGCGCGCGTGGCCGCCGCGACATGTCGCTCCACTGCCGCGGCCGATGAGAGAGACGCTGCCGCCGCGCAATCTGGCGCGCCCGCTCGCAACGGGCGATGCGCGCGGTGCCCTCGCAGCGCGGGGTGCCCCCTTTCCTGGGGCGACCGTCGCGCGCGCCCCCCCCCCCGCCGCCCGCCCCCGCTCCCTCGCGCGCAAAAGCGCGCAAATGCAAATTGAAGCCCGTCAGTGCAAGCCAACTGAGTGGCCGAGCACATCCAACCCGCGCGCCCAGAATGTTCTCACCTTTCGCGTCGCTTTGCTCCGTCGCCCACTGAGGCCGACCTCATCGAGGAGTCGCAGCGGCCCTCGGATGCGGGAGATGCCATATAGTGCGGCCCCATATCGCGTGGACTCGCCGCGTATGAACCTGCCGCGCCAATCGGGCGGGCGCGGGCGGATGCGCCCATGCGGGCGCCCGCTGGTGGTGCGGGCACAGCGCGAGGCGGCCGCGCAGCAGGAGGAAGACGTCGACGGACCAGCTGGCAAATCGTAGCGTCGCGGCGAGCTCCCCATGTACCGAGAGCGCAGGTGGTGGCAAAAGTGTGTGCAACGATCGGTCAGCCAGCTTATGTTGGAAGTGTCGGCTCCTCGCGCCCCATTCTGTAGGCGGTGGAAGACTCCTTTGGAGCAGCCCTCTCTTGGTCTCTTCATCGGGGTAGATTGCCTCGTTCAAAGAATTCTGGCGCCATAAAGCGCGACGCGGCGCCCCCTTCGCGGCGCGGCCGCATGGGGCGAAGTGGCGCCACCTACGCGGTGCAATTTCACGGGGGGAATGGGCGCCCCCTGCGCGGCGCGCGTAGACAGGACGACGCAGAACTTTGTGCGATGTCGAATCGAGACAGGGCGAAGCTGCTGCCTGCTGGCGGCACATCTAGACATGGCGAGTTGGCACCTGCAGTGGCGGCACAGGTAGACAGGCCGAAGTAGTGCCCCCTGGGCACCGCATCATCATATACCAGGGTGGGGGGCCCGTTTGGCACCCACCACGACAGAACAGTTTGGCTACCTCTGGGCGTTTCGCCTCGGCTGGGCGACGCGGCGCACTTTGGGCGGTTGGTCTACACGAAGACACTACAGCAGCCCTCTTGGCCAGCGCGTCGTCATGTTGGTACGGGCCCCCTCCTGTCATGCGGCGCTGAGCCGCTGATTTAAGTAGTGGCCTACCACCATACCATACACGTTATATGCGTGATGCAACGACGTTGCATATACATCTATCGATGTTATACGCGCTTTGTTCTGCATTGCTGCATTGCCGAATCAATGGCATGCTAGCCAGCGTGGGCCCCAAACAGTGCGCTGTCGCAATCTATGTTGCGCAATTTATGCGGTGCAATACACGTGGTGCCATCTATCAAGCGCAGCCTATGTTGAGCAATCAATATATGTGGCGCAACCTACGTGGTGCAGGCTATGTGGTGCAAGCTACGTGGTGCAATTTATGTGGTGAAGTCTATGTTGTGTAAGTTTGGTGATGCAGTCTATGTGGTGTAGTCTATGTAGTGCAGTCTATGTTGCGCAATCTTTGTTGTCCAGTATATCTGGTGCAGACTGTGTCGTGCAGGCTATGTGGTGCAATCTACGTGGTGCACCCTATGTGGTGTAAACTATGTGGTGCAATCTATGTGGTGTAGGCCATATGATACAATCTACGTTGCGCAATCCATGTGGTGTAAGCAATCGGATGCAATGTACGTGGTGCAATATAGGTAGCGCAGTCTATGTGGTGCAAGCTGCGTAGTGCAATCCATGTAGGCCAAGAAGAAACCCTAAGTGCAAGCACCGTTTGGGGGAGTTGCTGTGCAACAAAGCAAACAGACACCAGTGGTAGTTTAAACGCATCGCTAAAGTCTATGCAGTATCATGTCGCATGCTATTACACATGTGTAATGCCAAGCACGTGTAAGCAATTGTGTGGGACGTATTCGTTGTGCTATAAATTGCGGGATGGGCCGAAGGCCAATGTATATGCATGTGTATGTATGATTCCTCGTTGGCGTGCGACGTCCAAGCAAGTTGCCATTGATACCGAACCGCATGAAGGTTAGGAATGGGAAAACTGCAAATGAAGTTGTGAAAGCACTGGTAGCACATAGTGGAGGTTAGGAGGGGGAGGGCGGTGGGAGAAGCAGGGAACGCTCAGCCGCTTACCGACTGCAGTCCTGCCAACGATGATGATGATGATGATGATGATGATGATGATGATGACGATGATGATGATGATGATGATGATGATGATGATATGTTCAAGTCGGTGGCAGAAGCGCTGCGCCAACGGCCGCGTGAAGGAGCGGCTGAATTCTAGCTGGAAGGCAACGGGAAGCCCGATATGGAACATGCATAGGCTTCGCACCGACTGTATGCAACAAGCTGTGCTGTTGCTTGCATCATTATAACCTAGCTCGTTGTCAACTTCCTAGTCTAGTCAGACGGCTCTCGAGTGCGACCTCTGGCTGCGGCCACGTTCTAACCCCTCACATCGCGCACCTCGGGCTGTGGCGCCGCTGCCGCTGGCCTCCGAAGCGCAGGACGAACGGCGTGGGACACCCGAGCTGCCCTGGCAGGTTTCGCCCCGTAGGCCGTCATCATCAGGTTCCGCGTGGTCTTGAGCAGGTTGTTCTTGGCCTTGCGAACCGCCTTTTCATGCAACTTCAGCTGCCTCCTCAAGCGGATGTTGATGGCCTTGGCAGCTTTGTATTTCTGTTGCAGCTTCGTGTATTGACTCGGCTTCAACTTCGGATCACACAGGGGCGCCCTCTTAGGGGCCATGACACTGCACGAACAAGTTTGCTGATGTAGGATTCTGGTTAGAAACCTTGGACTTAGTTAGCCCAAATGGCTGCGGGTGATGGCATGGGGGGGGGAGAGCTGAGGGTTGAGAGATGACGAAGAAGACTGCAGAGGGTCGGTGATTGAGAATGGATGTTGGTGATGTTTGAGGTGGTGGTTCGCCCCCCTGTTAAAGCCATATTCGGCCTTCTTGGGCGCCTCTTGAAGCCCAGGCGCCCCACCTCCGAAGCTGGCTCCAGACACAACAGGAATCGGTGGTGCTTGTACCACGTGCCGTTGATTTTGATTGATGTTATGCTCTGCTTGTGCTTGCTTGCGATTGGCGTTCATCGATAATTCCTGCTGCTACGTACTATTGGTGTCTATTTGTTTGCACGCGTGCATTGTTGCTTGTTGTCGTTCGGGCATTTCGTTGCGCCTAGTGTGGCATCGCTCTGGCATTCGATGCGATTGTTTCCAGAGACACGGGGTTGGTGTAAGGCTTTTTTTATCGTTTTTTTTTCTGAACCGTTATTGGGCCATCTAGGGCCGCTTGGGTTTCTCTGAGGTGCCTTATGGGCTTCCGGAGGGCATCTGGGATCCAGCGAGGCCATCTTCAGGGACACTTCAAAAGGGCTCTTGACGGTGGCTCTCTGGTAGGGCCCTGGGAATTGGTCCAAGCTTGCTCTCGCTTCATCCCCCCCTTGGCTCCCTTCCCCTCCTCCCTCCCCCTCCAGCCCGTCCTCCCCTTCTCCTCCCCCTCTGACCCTCCTCGTGCCATTCTGTGCATTGGCAACTGCACGCCGAAAGCCTGCAAACGCACGCGAGGAACGAGATCATCTGGTGGAACTCCCTGCACATCAATAGTAGACATTCTCTGCCAAGTGATGCCGTACGGCTTGAGGTACAGAAGGGCCATGTGCCATAGAAACTCTGATTGGCGAATGCTCTCCTGAAAGGCGGCCCCATCTTCACTGGGAACCTCATCCTCCGAAGCCGAACCGTGCAGCACAACGAACCAGTCGCCGTTCAACGCCGTCAGCCTCTGCTCAGGCGGCGTCGTCAGCTTCTTGAACGCAGCATGGAGAAGATTGCGAAACCTGTAAAGCGCACGGCCTTCAGCACAATGCATCAGACAGCGGCCAGCTAGATAACATATGCGATTGTGTTTATACACGTTGTCTTTCGGCGGCGGTGGTATTGGTGTGCAATGCCTGTGGTATATCATCCAATGCCTGGAGTGCGCCTCCGCCTCCACCAATTGAGCTATGTTCCTTGTGCCATTCTCCAGCGCGTAGCCCAATGCATTCGATGCCCTCGATATCGTGTCTGGGTCGTATAAAAATACAGGCGCGCTTGCAATACTGGGCAAACCAATCAAGCTATGACCCACAGGCGAAATGCTCCCAAGTAAAGCTTGTATCTGCTGTGTGCGGCGTTGCCCCTCACCGCGCGTAAACTGCTTCACAGCGCTTGCTTCCGTCAGCCTCTGAAAGGACGATCTGCACGACAAAGCCTGCTTGGCTTGTCTGGCAAGCTTCTCGCCCTCACTCCAAGTCTCGCTGCGCGTGGCCACTGCGCCAGCCAAAGTACACAAGGACGCCGAGTCGGAGCCGTCGATGTCCTGCAGTAGGGCGGCGGTCGTCTCTCTCTTCAGCGACAAAGCAGCACCACGACGTATATCTTTTTGGGTCTGGCCGAAACTCCTGCTAGATGGATCCTCCCTGTGTTTCTGCGTGCCCTGGGCTCCCAAAGCAACCGCCTCAGCCCGCTGCCCTTCCGTCATGTTCCTGTACCTCTCGGCCAGTGCCGCGAAGTCCCTGTAGAAACCCTTATCGCTCATGGAGACGAAGGCGCGCCACGCCCCTCCTCCACCACGGCGTTTCTTCTGAGTCGGCTCGAAGCTGTCGGGCTTGTGAATGCGAGCGTTCGGGATCCAGCATTCGCGGACGAGCGGCAGTTTGCGTTCGCGCGCCCTGAGCCGTTTCTGCAGGAAAGCCGCCGACGCCTCCAAGAATGAAGCAACATTGGTAAACGACATGACCCTGAGTATCTGCCGAATGGACCCGTGCAGCGCCTCAATCCTGACAATGCTCGGGATCGCCATCAACGCAAGAAGTGCCAGGCGCGCCACTGCAATAGGCGATGACAGATCAGGGTTGTCCCGCTTGAAATCTTTCCAAAAGTCGTCAGCCAAGCAATCCTTGTCCGCAGCCAGCGCGGCAGCAAGACCTGGCCTTGACAGTAGAAGAAATGCTCGATATGGATACCTTCTGTGCAAACATGCAATATCGTGTTCAGCCCGAGCGCCAGCAGCTGATAGTGTTTTAAAAATGGTCCCATTCAGTCGCTCGGTCCGTTGGTGAGGCAGCATGGTAGACCACATCGCGCCATCTGTGCACAAGAACTTGAGCTTCGTGAAGAACTCTTTCTCAATTGTCCCTTCGGCGCACACCACCATGCGGTAGGTCCGAACATTTCCTGCAACGTCCAAAGAGACGCCTCGTCGAAGGGCGTCTGCCTCTAAGAACCTCTGGCGCTCCTCCCACGCGTCGCCCCCGAGCTCGTCGAAGGCCCTGAACATCTGCATGATGGGCACCATGATGATGCGCATGCAGTCCAAGTGCGGCAAGAAGGCGGACTCTGCGAATTGCAGGCCCTTTCGCCGATGCTCCGAGTTGATGTCCGCCTCTGTCGCTGCAACATCCTTCCCACCCTGAGCCGTGTCGCCAGTGCCAGAGCCCCCAGCGCCAGCTCCGTTGGCGGCAGCACCATCTCCATCCTGAGACGGACGGCATTCCAAAGGAGGCTTTATCCGTGACGCATTTAGGGGACGCGTTCACCACTTTTACCCACGGTGGCGCCCTGACGGGCACCAAAACCTTGCGTTCAAAACCTCCGCCGCCCCAGGAAGATTCCGATCCCCTACCCCCTTGAGCCGAAACGCCCTGGGACACCGAACGTATCCTAAATGCGTCTCTGCTTAGCTTCCTTTGGATTGCCTTTCCTACAACGCAGAGCACTCCTGCGCCTCCCGATCACGCTCGTCGAAATCCCCCAGCTCGAGCTGCGGCTGGGCGGGGGCCCCACCTCGGCGCTGCGGATTGGGCTTCTTTTTGCCGTCGACCTCCTCCACCCACATCTTGAAGGTGCTCGAGAACAGGCCGTGGCAGTGCTCCAGCAGGCCGAACTGGTCGACGGCAGCTTCTTTCCCGAACCATCTGTTGCGAGCGAACCTTTTGAACACGCTCGGGCACACTGCGAAAGTGAGGCCAATAACAACTCGCTCTCTCCATGTATCATGCTCTTCCTGGTCCCGTGGATCACGTGGAACGTGGACGACGATGCGATCCCTGTCGGTCCAGTCCCCATTCGGAAGCAACCGTAACACCACCAGCCTCTCGATGAGGTTGCTGCCCGTGCGTCCATACATCGCCAGGATGAGGAGCTTGAGGCGGTGGGCGTGCTCCTCCAGCGGGGGGCCCGTGTCGAACTGCACCATGTCTCGGATCCGCCTCTTCAAGACGCGTCGAAAATGGGACATGGAACCAGCCAGCTGCATTGAAAGAGCCGTCCGAATCATACCCGTCACAAGCCACTCGAACGACCTGAATGAAGATTCGAAAACCCCTGCACCAAGATGAGCGTGGCAGTCGACGTGAAGGTGTTGCCAGTCGGGCCTGTCCTCCAGCCTGATGCCTCGCTCAGCCGCGCCATTCGGCCCGCCTCTGTCACTGATGGACACTCGGCACCTTTGCTGGTAGTGCTGCGCGAACCCTCCTGTAGTCCAGACTTGCCGAAGACCCTGGCGAGTCGTCTCTCCAGTCACACGGTCAAAACATACTAAATTCGATAAGGCTTTGGACACCACGGTGGTGAACGCGACGGCCCCGTGCAACTCGATGCTGACAACTGCTCCCCAGAAGCACTCGGTTTGGAAGAGTTTGCACGGACCTGATTCCGAAAAAGCAATGCCAGTGGAATTCCAGCCTTCAGGACTAATGATGTTCTGGATGGTCGCAACGGTTATCA